AAAATTTGCTTCCGCAAATTTGCAAATTTAACATTGTTGTGCTGATATTTAGAGTAATTATATAAGTACGTCTAAACAAGTGACAACTCTACGACAGATCCATGCATTGGATCACCATGCAGTGAAAGTGATACACGGCTGAAAACACATATTATATTCATAATTACTCTAAATATCAGCACAACAATGTTAAATCTGCAAATTTGCGGAAGCAAATATTTGTTCTTCCCTCGTCATATATATATTTAGTGCCTGGAAAATCAACCTAACAATGTTAGAGTAGATCTGATTCTTTACTTCCTTCCCGAGTTGGGCTGGAACCTGTATTTTTTACTTCTCACTTCTACGACAACACCGTCTAGCATTGAGCAGACGCCTTCTCCCCTCCTCTATAACTATATAGCTTATAAAAATCAGCTTTTGTTTCGGAAGGTATTAATAATAATGACACCTTATAAACGATCATAAATATTTTTTCATGGTAAACATTCCAATATGATTTCAGTCAACTTTTCGTGTAACAGGGATACCAAGGCAATAAAAAAAACGAGGTAAATCTGACAATAACATGTCCAAAAGAAAAACAAAGAAAAATCGAAAAACTGATTGAAAAAGGGATGGGATTTTGGCTACAAGTGGAACATGTCACGGTTAGTCCGAGATTGCTGTGACGTTAATGAGAACTTGTTTTGCACACTGGCACTTGTGTTAATAAAGTCGAAAAAATACAGAAATCGAGATGTTCCTTCATCATACAATTGTATGGATCACAATTTAATTTTATATTTTGAACTTGACGAAACGGATAAGACTTGGCGAGAAGTCAACAAGCAGTCCTCAAAATACTACACAGAAAACTATATATGATATAGTAAGCAACTCGAACCCATTAAAAACCGAGGGTAATTCATGTGTTCTGACACGGTAACTGGCAGTTCTACGGACTCTTCTCGAGTGCGGGAGGTCGTGGATTCAATCCCCTATCGAGTCAATCTAAAATATTGCATTTAGTAGAAACAACAAGCAAAGCTGTTCGGGTCGGAGTCAGTCTGAAATACGTGTAATATTTGCCATTGGACGTTAAGCGACTATGCTCAATTGTAATATGGCGTCCTTCTTATCTAGAAGGGGGTACATGTGCTTGGCGTCATTGACTATTGAATGGTATAGTCTAAACGACGCGAGCTATAATAGTGGATATTTCTGAGGGAGTAATACTCGCTACAATATTCAATCAAATCTTTTAAACAAGTAAAACTATATGTATTTGAGAACGTTTAATCGGGTACCTCTTGGTTTTTTTGGGTTTTTTTTATTTGTTTTTCTTTATTGGATTATCATGGATGCAGTTTTTGTATCCTCGACGGTAACCCACGTCTCAGTAATAATCAATAAGACATCTCAGCTTAGTTTGAAAGGCTTATATTATCTTATTTTTCATTTGCGGTCCTCTATCCGTAAACACGTTTAGAGAGCACACTTAACCCTGCTGATTACCACATTAACGCGTTAAGGATGTGGGAAGAGACTGTCGTGATATACCCAATTACATCAAACATGAATCAATGATCTTATTTCAAACTTAAATATGATATGCAATATACATTGTACCTGTTAATTCAATTTACCCTTCAGTATAGAGCAAACAGACATAAATCTTTGTTGACGTCATCACAATACAAAAGATTTCATATTTCCGTAAACAGAAAAGACCTCCTCTGATTTTAATTTGTATCTTCACACACTCCTTGTTGTTTTGTTTATCACTCTATATAGGGGAGGTGGAGCAGGGTCGTCAATGTAACTTAAATTAACTTGTGTACCTCGAAAAGAACATGCATGAAATATTCACCACTGGACGTTAAGCAAACAACAATCAATCAATCGAAATGAATTGATGCATAGTAATCGGACAGCTAAATCAATTTTTAAAGCTGTTCAATCTAATTAAAATATAGAGCTCTGATTTCGTTATACTCATATGAGTACGCAAGTTAAGATAGATTAATTAGATTGAAGGCTGTTATTTTTCATTTAAATGACATGTTTTCAAAATTTCTTGTCAGTCATGATATACGATGTCTGATTTCTTTTAAGGTCCATTTAAAAAGCCAGTCACAAGGTAAAATTTCTGCTCTTAAATATCTCACTTTCCAACTTACACCTTCTTTCACGTGACATTTTAGTCAAAGTATCCCGATCTTCAGGACCTAGCAATTGGATTTATCTTTAATTTAAGATAGTCCTATATATATATATGCTTGAAATATTTGCCACTTGATAGTCAGTAACTGTTAAACAATTGAAAGTATTAAAAGATGGGGAATGAAGAAAAAGAAATGAAAAAAATATAATAAAACACTGAGCAAAATAATGCAAAGTATAATTTAACTTGTTGTAAGAACGTATATCAATTTGAACTTACCAAAAATGTTACATTCGCGGATGCAGCAAGGGGTTTGTGGATGAAGATACGATCTTCCTTCGGATTTTTTTTCTTAAGTGAAAAATAAGGCTGGGACACCTTTTTTCAAAAAAAAAATTCTATTGGAAATCAGAAGAAAATAAATCAGCATTAAAGATCCTGTTTGCTATTTAAACAAATCGTTTGTATATTTGAATAATTATGTTGAAAAAAATGTGTCTTGAGAAAAAACGCGTCTGTTCGTAACATTATAATAAAGTGGTTATCTCCCTTACACTGTGGTGCGTTTTAAAACATTTAAGACGTTATTTAAGTTTCAAAGCGATAACGCACCAAGATACGCAAATTAAAATTAAATTAAAAACGTAACAAAAAGGAAGACAATCATCACACTGCCTTTTGTCTCTCTTTTTAGTTTCGATTATACATTTTTTTCATAACTAGTCCGTTATTTTTATAAGTTTTTTTGATTTACAAAGGAACATCATTATTTTCAATAATAAAAAAAACTAGTCTTTCTCTCTCTCTCTCTCATTGAATGCTGTTTTTTTTATCATAACTTCCACTATATAGAATAAGATTATCCAAACTTTCTGTTCGATGCTTTCTTAAATGGTGCAAAAGGACAAAGGGTGTAATTCCAAACCCCCATAAAAAAATGAAAACAACACGTTATTAATGTCATGCATCCAAAGCGCCTTTCTGGATTTACCTTCATCATGAACGCGCAAAGCCGAAGATGTATAAGAACCGTAACAGTTGAAGAGCTATATATATATAACCAAAAAGTACTTAAAAAATAGCCAAATCCATCTAAGGTCAACTTTGCTTGATGGAGTTGAAACCTTAATTTCATAACCCTCTTCTTCGCCAACTAAATTATCATATAATTCGTCAACCAATGCTATATTTTTTTTTTCGAGTTGGTTTATTTCATTGCCATATTAGATCGAATTAGTCACTTTTGTTTATAGACGTATTCCCTTTGTAAATCATAAATGGGTAAGCAAGTAACAGAAACGGAAAAGGAGGGATGTAGAGAGTCACAAAATGAAATAATTCATATCTGAAAGATAAAACATTGCTTTTCTTCAGGCATACTTGTGTTAACATGGGTGAAATGCCTTTTTTATTCAAGTTTTTGGCAAACATTCAAAATTTACAAAAAAATATTGAATGTTGTTGTATCAATATAAGAAGTACAGTGGCCGACATTAAATTATAAGGAGACATCTGTACATGAAGATTAAGTATTGTTAGCTTGATCTTATTCCGTAAATATGAGCAGTCTCTCTATACGGAGATTTGGAAAAAGTCAATGAAACAGCAGCTCAACCAAACACACAAACATTATAGTGTTTAAATATTGTATACGGCTGTGATTTTTTTTTCATGTAATGTCGATGTATAATAGAGTCAATGGCCTCTCCTGAGCCGTTTTCTTTTTATATTATTGTATGCCTTCTATCCCATTTATTGAGTTACAAAGTACGGTCGAGTACTTAACAAAAAACAACCTCGCTACACGTTAATGTGCTCATCCAAATTCAGTGCACTTCGGTCCATTTGTGCGTTAGACCCCGGGTGGGGTGGGGGTTGCACTTCGATCCTTTTGTGGTAGGATGGGCAGCTGAGACCTTTAGAACCTCAGCCTTTTTGTATATGTTGAATATTAAACAATCATAACCCCTTTCATATATGTTTTACCCCCCCCCCCCCCCCCAAAAAAAAAAAAAGAAAAAAAGAAAGACATAGCTTTATCTCGGAATTCAGGTCGTTAATGCTCTTCATTTCGTACTGTATTTGTCAATTTTTTTTATTCGAGCGTCACTGATATATATATTATCATATATTGAAACACATCCAACTACTCATTATATAATTAGTTGCCCATCCCCCCGGGTGCTTGGTGCATTATAGATCGTTTCAGTATTATAAATTGTTTACCATATTTATTGTGTTTATTTCCTTCCTTTGTTTATCAATCTTTTCTTTTCTTAACCTTGTAGATCTGGTTAAAGTTCCATAAAAGTTGCGCTCTTAAATCGATAAAAAAATATTACTAAAATATTACAATAGTTACCAAAATTTCTGGCTCGCTTCGATCGTTGACCATCTTAAGATAATGCTCTAAGAACAAACTATGAGTTTTGTTGCTTTTTTTGCGTTATTTTTAAGCAAAATCGTGAACATCTTATATTATTTCTGTATTGGATTTTTCGATCAATAGTCATAGATAAGTAACAAATTAACTCTATATGAACGTTCAATACTTCTAAATAAATATTAAACCTGTCATAAGTAAACATAATGTAACAATACTAAATAAAGAAAATATAAATGAAACTGTAAAGTAACTAATAAGTAACATAATTTTGATATACGTTTAATAACTTCTTGTATCTATGATCACTTGTGAAGTTCGTGTGAACGTACCGTATGAACTGAAATAAACTATAAATCATGTTAGGATTACGTTATATACCATGCGTACTGATAGGTTTAAATCATTTAAAATCAAAAACAATATGCTTGTGTTGTAGATATAATAAATATATTAATGCAGTAGTCTAAATGCATAGTATTCTATCGTATAGTGGGAACTAATTAAAAGCGAGCGACATCATTGGTTGGAGAACACACGATCAGCGTGATTGACGCGTCTGTGGTTGCACGCCCACAAATTAGACTACATGGTCCGAGTTTGAAGTGTGAAAAGAGATGAAGTTTTGACCATGTTAAGTTACGATGGCATTAGTTTTGCTAGTATTTGTACTGCTTCTTCCAATGCTATACCGGTGTCACCCAGCAGGAATTCCAAAGGGTTAGTATAATTAGCTTGTTCTAATTTGTATCTATTAAACAACTTGTTGTATTTTATTTTTATTTTTCGTTTATAACATGTTTTATATATTTTCAGATATAAGAAGAGAAATAACAAAAGAAATAGTGTTTCCAAAGAGACTAAATACTTATGATAATCATGATAATCATATTAATAAAAGGAGTACTCGTAATAAGCAAAAAATTGTGTCTTATTCCATATCAGCGTTTGGAAATGAATTTTTATTAGACTTAACTTTTACAAAGGATTTTATACCTAATAAGTATGTTGTGCAAACTTTTGGTGACAACTATACTCGGATAGAGGACAAAAGCTCCGACCAGGAGCAGTGTTTCTATCGTGGAAGTATTCAGAATGCTAGCCCCTCGTGGGCAGTATTCGACTTATGCAATGGCCTGGTAAGTCCTTTACTTGTAGTACGTAAAGATATGACACATTTTACTATTCTGTTACAGAGATGTTAAACCCTGCCTATCAACTTCGTTACTTTTCTTTGTATCTCGTGTTAAGCTTTCTTAAAAGCTATAATCTACCCTCCCTCTGTTTTTTCCCTGCAATTTTTCACCCTTCGCAAGAAATTAATAAGTATGTACAGTTAAATTTCTCACTTGTAGGTATAGAATTTAAGCTTAAAATTCAATAAACAGATTAAACTATCAATTGTTTTACTACCGTTCAACTCAGGTAAGCTGATTTTACTATATTAGATTAGCCGAGTCAGCTAGTTTTATTCGTCTGTCGAAGCTGCACTCGATGTATATATATACATTTTGGAAGTGCAGAGCTGGCAATCAGAAGCCAGAAAATTAAACACAATAATCTCTGAAGTTAACGATATTTTTATACCAATATTTCTGGAATGAATAAGGTAAATTTGGAAGGTTCATTGACCAACTGCAAAATGCAGAGTGCAAATTAAAAGTATTACAATTATAGCATTTGTCAATGATATAGAGCTTGATCGTGTATTCAAAAGAGGGGTGGAGAGGACATGAGAGAGTATTGGAGGAACAAGAAGACAGAACGTCATACTCAGTAACTGGCAGTTTGCACCTGTATCAGAATGATTGGGACTTGTACAGACAATTTTACTTTCTTATTGATAATTTATCTGTGTTTCGTATTTCATACAAAAAAATAAATTGAGTTATTCTTTCCATTTTGAGTAGGTAGAAAGACATTAGTCTTACGTAAAGAAGTAGATTTTGGTGTAAAGGACACCCTTGTAGTCGCACGAGGGTCTACATATATACAGAACGGATTTATTTTCAGATTTCCATCCATCCCAACAGTTATCTCGGCTTTATTCTGTTCCGAGTGAAATCGATTTAACTCAAGCAAAGTCACTGTTTCTGACCCTCGCAAACGTCCGTTCTTCGTCTCTCTTCGAATTGGTTTAACCTTCATTTTCCAGAGAAAATGCATGTTTCGGAGCTCTATTTGCATTTTCCCCCCCAACCAACAATCAGGGAGTTCGCCACTTTTTTGCATGACTGTCGTAGACATACTATTGCACTCGGCATATCGTTTTTTTTTTTATATCTTTCTTTAATGGTATACTTTCAATGTAAAACAGATTGAATGTTGCTTATTACTTACAAGCTGTATTGATGATATCAGTAAACAACTGATTGGACAGATTATTTATGTTTAACTTTTACAAGGATAACTAAGTCAACACTAGATACAGGCCTATATCATAAAACACTATCATAAAAGCTATCAAGCGACGCAGGTGAAGTGTCTTATATTTGCGTCATCCAAAGGCATGGTGATTGACAGTTCTACTCTGAACTGAAGATTTTTTTTTATTACGGGTACCAACAAACATAAATACACCAAATAAAATTCCACGTTCAGTGTTTTATGTGCTTCTTTATAAAACAGTAACACTCATAGTCATAACGCATTTAGGTTCTATAGATGAAACCCAGAATTCAATACCATGTATAGTTCTCTTTTCATTTGGACGTTATATATGAATAAGAAGATGTGGTATGACTGTCAATGAGACACCTATCCACTAGAGACTATGTCTATCATAATGTCTGTTAAACCATCGTTTCACATGCATTACACTGACAAGAATATGTGAGTGTTGTAACAATATAACAGCAAAGTGACAAAAGAACGTCAAAAGCCTAACACTGTTTCCTATTAACGTGTCACGTATGGACCTGGTCAGATTACGCTATTCGAAAACGTCCATCCCCTTCAAGTTGCAAACGACATGCCAGGTCTTCCACAGATGAATATTTCCGCAGTTTTGTTGAAATATATATTTTTGTATTAATTTAACGAATATTTTACATTACTTTGGATCAAATAGCAATACGCTTACGTCTTCTGAGGCATGTCAATATACACCGAGCATTGGATATTGTTGCTTGTTCATTTTCGATGTATTTTCTTATAAAAAAGGGGAGTTGATACTATGCCTGATTACTGATTGATTGTTGCCTGTTTAACGTTGTCCAGTGGCAAATATTACATGCATATTTAAGACGAGAGCAAGTGAACAATTAATGCAAAAGGTAGGTTCGGCAAGATAGATCGACCTGGAAGAAGAACGGGAAATTTGGAATGTCACTGGAAAATAAGAGTAAGTTGGATAGGATCATACTATCTACGAATTCATCATAGAGTTGTTGTAAGGGTTTCTAAACTTGCAAAGAGTTTGGCATTCTCCCTACACGAGACGTTTTTAACGTTCATTTTCCGGAGGGCTATGTATTTATTCAAACAAACGGACGCCTGCCCCACTTAATCAAGGGTTTCTCTGCAAGATTGGAGAAGTCAAGGAATGACCAGCATGCACATTTCTATATATATCCCAGTCAAATCTTTGGGCCTAGACAACACTATTACCCATAGACAAACAGACTCAGATAACGAAAGATAACGCAACACTTACCCCACTGAAAAAATAGTGGTGGAGTCAGGTTCTACGGAAGTGTAAGCAATTCCTGCTCCTATCCATTAATCATTATGTTGCTCTTGTTATGTAAGTAAAAATCCGATGATAAGTCGCATTTTGGTAAAATCACAATCATGAAGATTTTGCATATAATCAAGGATTTTGTATAGCATACAAATCTTTGGTATAATCGGATACATTAAATGCAGTATATGTCTCTGGTATAATATTAGAAATGGGGGATGGTGAGACTATTAACGAATAGCAAGTGTTTAATTTAGTAACATCTAAAGTATACGTATATGTACGACATATATCCACGAAATAAGTATTACATTGACTAAAATGAATAATTTGATATTTTTACAAAGTCTTAATTGTTAATTGGGTGAACTCGATTATTGGAGTCGTGGGTGTATTTTAAATGTTTCCATCCCCTTACTTTATCTTCCCTAAAAAAAGCACGGATCAATACACAGCTCCCACATAGCATAACAGTTAAAATGAGCAGTCTTTGCTCAAAACTGTTAGACTTAAAAACCCGAAAATCAATCTATCACATCGTAAAATGCATGCGTTTCCTACAGCAGTGTAACATATTATACTATCAGTATCACTGTCTGCAGGTTATGAAACGATAACTTATCACATAATTTCCCCTTGCACACAACTATTAATCGCAAAAACTCATTCTTCCCAAGAAATATCCGGGATTGGAACGCTTTCTCATGGGGTTGTATCAGCACCATCAGTGGAGGCCTTTAAAGCCTCGATGACAAAGCTGAACTAAATTAAAAAAATTGGGGGGAGGGGGGTGGTCTAGTATGCGCACCAAATCCATGGCAGTATAATCAGTTCGTTGATTGTGGCCATTATCTGGCAGAAGCAGAAGCAACTTGTATGTATACAATGTATCCTCTTCTTGGTCATGTGTCTATAATAATTCCTCTTTCACTAGTTCATGGTTCTCATCAAAGCTTGCACCTATTTATTGAAAATCTTGACATCCTGATCCTAAGGTCAAAACATTGACACTACTTGTCACATTGTACTAATTAATTGTTTCATCTAGTACTCTCTTTCTCTTAGTAGTATCTCACGTTACTTGGGTATACTTTGTAGGTGCAGGATCAGGATTCAGGGCTTACTAGCTCTTAAAATTACCCTGTACTATCTAAATTGTCTCCAAAATTTTTGTTCATAGTTCTGGGTTTCTGTAAATTATCAAAATAATATCACACAGACTAAATGATTTTATAGGTTTCACATGCATTGTGTAATGATTTTATAGGGTTGTGTATGTGTGTTACATTACCTGAATATAACATCCTAGGCTTTAGTCATTTGGTTCTATATCTGGTCGCTCATCAATGTGGGGACGTCCGATCTGTATAACAACTGGGTAATGACTGTCAAATATACAATGGGAAATCCTGGAATTCCTTAATATGACATATTAGTCTTCCGAATGCACATTGGTAATAGTAAACCTTAGTAAATGTAGTTCCGAGTAAACTGATGTTATACCATATTCATAACAATAGCACCGTATAGCACTGTAAGTGTATACATACGGACACATGATAAGATACCTTCATCTATGCATAAACTTATTGGAGTAAAGGATTCTTTTGAGCAGGAATATGTGACTTAAAACATACAAATGAAAATACAGCTAAGGGATGATTTTGCCATCAAGAGTAGTTTTAATCAATGTGATAACAATTATATTTACAAAACAATCAGCATTGTAGGCATGCAGTATACACAAATAATTGTATACATATTCCAGTCGTAGGCTCAATAGTAAGAAAAATGTTATATTCGGTAACGCATATGATGTAGATATAGAATGGAGCAGATTTGTGGTGTTGACCATTTCATATTTATAAAGTTTTATACCTAATGGAATGCCAAAGTTTAAGTTGAATACCAAGTTCTATTTATATTTTCAGCTTGGTTCATTTTATGCACATGGTGAACATTTCATTGTTGAACCATTCACAGAAAGTGATTCTTCTAAAGAAGATACAAATGCTCATTACATTTACAGACATTCACATCCAGTTAAGCCACAGTCAGACTGTGGTGTAAAAGGTAGGATTTTTAAAGTAAAATTGTACCAATTCTATTTATAACGAAACTAATTCTATATATACGAGAAAACCAATTCAATATATGAGAATGAGATACGAAAGGTTGGTGATTAACCATATCTTTAGCACAGGTTAGTTTTAGCTATAATCACATCAAATGTTCATCACCCTGTGACACACCTCAACTTATTTTCAGTTAGTTGTGGACATTACAGAAATTTTCCTTATGTGAACTATGCAAGAAGTTTAAATAATTAGGAGGTGGTCTTTTAGCAGTTGAACTTTATTTCATGGTTAAGCATGATAAATGCATGATATCCAAGTACATTTAATGAATATATTTATAAGTGGTTATTGTTGTGACATAACCTACTTTATGTTGAAGGTTAGAGGTTTTTGTTTTCAATAGAAATGCTAATTTGAAATTCAGGTGTTAGCATATTCAACATAGCAAAATTTTTAAATACTTTTTGCCTGGTCATTGGATTAAAATAATTCATTTATTGGTGTAATGTGGCCTCTGTTTATCCATATGTGAATGCAATAGAATCACTTAGATTTTTTTTTTAAATATGACTCATTTATTTAACTAATTTTAATTTTCTTATTTGAGCAAATAAGATAATTTTACATTTATATATATATCACTGGAAGTCTATTACCTAAAGTGTATTACCAGGTAATGGACCTCTGATATCACTTAGAGAAAACCAATTATAAAAATCTTTGCTTAAGGAATAGATTGAAGTGCAGTAAACAAAAGGAATTCAACAATACAATTTATTTGGTGTTAAAGTTCTTGCTATTACTGGAAGGAAATAAACTGAATCGAAAGGGTGATCAATTTATAGAGTGTCAAAATACCATATAAAATACTTAGATAGCCAGGAAATTATCCTTAAATATTAGTATAACCTGATCTTTATCACAGATCAGAGAGAAATATTAAGGTATTACCACAAATCATATTAAAGATTAATAGGCTTACTTTCCATAATAAGTCAGAAAAATATTTACCGTTTTGTATTTACAATTCAATTGCTTATATCAATCAGATGTTTAGTTGAAAAAACTCCCAAGATTTTAATAAGAAGATCCATTTATCATATTATATAACCAACAGAAATGTCCATTTTTATGTTGTATGATATTGGAGGTGTCACTAAAATTTTGACTAGAGAACAGGAACTATTGAATACATATTTGCTTTAACTTTTTACATTTTAATCCCTACCACAACATTAAGAAGGTGGAATAAAAAAATATAAGTAGAAGAATTACAAATGCATGAATCTACCAACACTGAATAGTATGGACAGTATTACCGATATTTTACCCAAATAAAATGGCTCTATGTAGTTTTGCCTTTGTTTCCAGTACAAGGCTAAAACAGTGTACAACTCGGATTCCAAATGTAATTCCAGGTTTCCAACTTGAGAATGAATTCTGAAATTCTTTATCACTGCATGCATGCTAGGTCATCTGTTAATGATAAAATGTCTGTCAATAAATTTTGAATAAGAATCAAAATTTGAATTTTATTGTGACACAATAGAAATGATGACAGCTGACAATTAGTCTAGTAATAAAACAATTTGAAGGTCCATTACACAGGTATAATACAAGATGAGACCAGTGACAAGGATAAAAGGGCATGATTTACATGGTAGAATGACATATTATATTTGACCACTATTATTTGTTGTGTCTGTTGGTCACTTGTACAAAGATTTTTGCTATGCTTTTAAAAATTACAGTTATTTTGATAAGTTGTTTAAAAGAGAAATTATTTATTGTTCGCCAACTCTGTCACTGATTAGAACACAATTGATCCATTTTCTGAAATTATTTTGTGATTAAAAAGGTTACATCTATTGTTAACTTACTTAAAAAAAGATAATTGGATGATTTTTATTGTGGAGAATGTTATTGCATAAAAAGTTTATGAAACATGAAATTATGGTCAAAATTGAAAAAGTCTCTTGTAAAAAATCAGTGATAGCGGTACTTTCTCTGGTTTTGTATTAAAGAGAATTAATTATCTTTTATTCTTTTTTTATTTTTTTTTGGGGGGGGGGGGGGGGAGGAGGCAGGTGCCAGGAAGCTTGTGTAACATTATTTGAAAATGATGACATCATTACTTAACATTAAAGTTAAATACTTTAGAAAAATACAAGGTGTTCATCTTGTAAAAATGCATCATCATGTTGTGGACAGCATACTTTTAACAATTAAAATAAGCTTGTTTTGTCCATTGCATTACACAACACTTTTTATATTGTACCAATTGGTCTAAATGCCTAATGGCAATTGAAACCTTTCTGTTGGTGTGTTTGATTCATGCCATCTACTACAGAGAACACTTTTCTTTGGTATCTTTAGTTCTATGATTTATACTATGTGTATATTAAGCTTGGATAAGTAGGTTTTAACACCTGTCTTTTGCTTCACCTGCTTTACCTACGTGAAGGGTGTATGTAGGTAATAAACAGTGTACAAAATGAACTTTAATATATGTCCTGAACCATGACTGACCATATTCACTATTGTAAGGTATATTTATCAGAAAGTAAATGGTTTTAAAAGTCATTCATGTTTGTACCATGTTCCACTGAAATTCCCTGGGTGGAATATTATGTGTCCTGTTTATTAATACCCACTAATTGTTAACTTGTAATATATAGCCTTCATAAATTCATTTTGTGACAAAATGTTAAGATATCTTTGATGGGGTCTTTTTCCTTGATTAAGTTCAAATGCCTTCTAGACCAATTTGCAAAGCTTGATTAGTAAAAGAATTAGCCATCAACCTTAATTATTCTGAAAAGTACATGTTAAGGACAAGAAGAAAAAAGGTGATGTTGACCGTTAATAATATGTGGTAACAGTAATCACATTTGAGGGGTTTTAATTATGATTTATTATATTTCCTTTAATGATATCTTGTCCCGTCTTCTATGTAGGTTTAAAGAATGAAGGAAATCATGACATTTAAAGAATTTATGGTCAGTCCTTTAAATAAATCATAAGTATAAATTGAAGTCTAAAGTGTAGGCTCCGTAGAAATTATTCTGGCAACAGTTTGACTATCCTTGTTGAATTGTATGTAAGTTTTATCTGCAGTTAGGGAATTATTCATCTTTTACATTGATTGTGAAATACTGCATGGTTAATATCACCTCCCATTACCTTAACTATTATCAAGAAAAGATAGTTTTTTTTATTTGATCTCCTGGGTCATGAATATTATCTATTTAAGGCATCATTGTCCGATTCAGCTACACACAGGGTCCCTGGACACTTATATGTTCTGCAAGATAAAAATAAGTGTACAATCATGTTTGACAGAAATATTGAACAGTATATACAGATTTTATTAAATCTATATTACATGAAAGTCATTTGCATTTCCCACTTAAAAAAGATTTGTACTGTCAGATATTAATTCTGATGCTGAAACAACAAGGGAAAGTAAGGTCTTTGTGGAAGTCAGTTACAGACTTGAAATTAACATTTCCAGAAGTCTTTAGCTTGTTTCTTTATAAGAGGAATATTGCACATTGCTGGTCTTTTTATCAAATTTGTGACAAGCTATCTCTGTGATGAATTGGTTGTTTACTTGTTGTCTAAAAAATTATTAGATTTCCACTAAAGTCATCTTTGAATACTGTACATATATTAATTTTGTGATATCAGCTAATTTATAAAGACACAATGACCTAAATGTTTCTAACATTTACCCATATTTGTCTAAAACAGTTACAGTACACAGACTTAAGTCATGAACTAGTCTAAATGACTGCCTAAAAAATGTTACAAATAGCTTGTTATCATAATTTGCATGTTAAATGTCTTTAAAATCTCTTCATATTTGTTCTATTCCAATGAGCAGAGTCTTCCAATTTGTTCATTACAACATTTAATCTGTATAATTCTGCAATTAGAAGTTAAAAACTATTTTGGAAATCACCATTAAGATATAAATGCCTTTTGAATGGACCATTTACATCAAATTAATGACAAATTTTTTTCATAATTGCTTAAACCATGATGAATTATGAATTTTAAAGAAATGTAAGAAATGGGGTCAGCTGCCTTCAAGGCTTTGAATACTTTTATCATTTCTAACATAAAGGAAACACAGGCTGTTTCTTAAAACGGCAAGATTTACTTATATATCTTGAATGTGCTTAGTACTGATATGATAAGTCTAGTTTGTCTTTTACACCACTGTCCAAGCTAGGGAGAGGGTTTGCACGATTGCAATCATGTTTAGCCTGACACATACTTTATGTGCCTGTCCCAAGCAGGGAGCATGCCAGAGCCTTCTATAGCTAACCATATGACATTGGTTTTGCTTACAATTGAAGGCCTATACATGTATTTGTTTACATCCTCATCCATTGGTCTCTGGTTGATAATTATCATTGGCAATCATACCACATCTCCTTATTTTTATGCTCATGAGTGCATGATATGTGATGGTTAATCATAGGTTGAGTAAAATTAATTAGTTTATTTCCTATAATTTAACTAAAAAAGGTAATGTTAAGAGCATATAAAATTTGAAGATAACAAAATCAAATGAAAATAGCATTTAAGTTACCCTTGAGAGCCAAAATGAAAGAAAAATCCTATCCTCGAATATTGACAAAACTTGTGGCTATTTTGTAGTAAGTTTTGTACTGTACTATTGCCAGCTATTGTATTGATGATGTTATGATATAAAAGAGAAGACCTTGTCTAATCTCAGCTTATCACCAGTTATTCTTGCCAAGAGTTAGGTTATTGCTTAGGAACATGGTTTTATATGTATAACCATCTATACATATATCAATCTTCTTTACTCCCACATTATTACTGTCTAGTAAAATAAAACTTTTATGACAATAACTGTCTCTCCATTAATCATATTTCACTGGAAAAATGGTCACAACTGTTGAAATAATACAATTTATACCTTTGAAAATATTAGCCTTCAGTGTTGTCAGTTGATTTTGT